GCCTGTGCGTCCGGAGCCTGTGCTCCTCAACGGGAGAGGCCACAACAGTGAGAGGCCTGCGTACAGCCAAAAAAAAAAAAAAAAAAACCTAAATGAGATCAAATCACTTATCCCCGCAAACCCTCCCAAATCCCGAGGGGCCCCAACATGATCAGCTCTCTTCTCCAGCCACACTGCTGTTCCCAGACCGTACCAAACTCACTTCTGCCTCAGGAACTTTGCACCTACTGTTTTCCCTTGCTGACCTGCTTCCCCCAGATTCTGTATGACTAGCTCCCTCCCCGGTGCCTACTCAGAATTTTTCCCAGAAGATGTCACCTTCTCAGGGAAGACTTCCTGACCACCCTATTTGAAACTGCAACATCCCACTCTCACACCCCATCCCTCTTTCCTGTTTTATTTTTCTCTGTTGCGCTTGTCACCATCTAACATGCGGTATATTTTATTTACTTATTTTCTTTGTTGCCTCTCCCCACCCCCTTTAGAGTGTCAGGATTAATGAGGGCAGGATTAATGTCTGTTTTGTTCACAAGTGGATTCTCAGGGTCAACAACAGTGCCTGACGCATAGTAGATGTTCAATAAATAATTGTTGAATGAAAGACTAGAGCCAAAGCTACGAGCGATGGTGTCACTGAATCGCTGTCATCAGCCTGCTAGTGGCGGCACGGGATTGGAAGCTGGGGTTGTCTGACTTTAATTCAGGGTGGCGGTGAAGGAGACCCGGAAAACTGCACTTACGGCCTAGGCCGCAGGGAGCGGCAGGGTGGGAGCGTTCCAGTTAGGAGAAGAAAGGAGCGATGTGGTCACTTGAGTCTGTGTACTTGGCAACAGCCAGGAAATTGCTGCATGATTTTGAGCAAGTCAGTTCCCCTCTGGGAGCCGCGTTGTCCTCCACGGGCGAGCCAGGGAGGATTAGAATGGTGGCTCTGTGAGTGCCCCTTCCTGCTAACACTCCAGGAGTCCAGCCCTTTCTTGCGGGGCACACGGTGGCTTCTGGGCAAGTGTCAGTTTCCTCTCGGCCTGGCTTCTCCTTCCTCCTGAGCTACCTGCTTCTCTGGCACCAGCAGGAAGTGCTGGGCTGGCTGGTGTGTGCCCAGGAGGAGGTGATGGGAGGTAGGCCGAGAAATCTATGGACTCACCTGGGCAGGAGGGAAGGCCTGGTTGGGGGTCTGCCTGCCCACCCCTGCAGCTCCTGAGGGGGACTTCTCCTTCAGCATGCCCCCACCCCACCCGGCCAGGCCAGCGTCCTTGGACGCCCGTCTCCCTCTTCCCCTGGCACCAGTTGCACGGGGACAGCCCCAGATGGCTCCCTGGCCCTGGGGACAAAGGCCACACTGTGCCCAGCCCTGGGCTGGCTTCAGGCCGGGTCACACTGAGCCCTTCTGTCCCCAGATGGGGGTGAGGGGCAGACGGCACGAAGGTAACAGGCCTTTTTCCTGTCGCCCTCCCCCCCTGACCCTCAAATCTGAGGAACTGACTCTCCCAAGAAAGAAGTCACAGAGGCATCTTGTGTCCTGAGGTAGGGAACAACAGACCATTCACTGCCCAGCCTGCCCTGTCACACCCAGACCCTGCCGGGTTCAAGGCCCCAATTGTCCCCATCCGAGAGCAGCGTCCACTCTCTGCGTGGTCACCACCCCTGCCGCCTGCTCCCCTGCCACCATCAGGAAGTCCATCCCTACATCTGACCGCCATTGCTCCTGCTACAGTGACAGCCACTTCCTCTCGGTCTCTTCTCAGGCCGGGTGCAGAGCAACTGGTTCCCATCGTCTGCGTTGCTTGGTCCCCCATTACTGCTCAAGTGAGCCGTCCCCGGTTTCACCGTCCGCATGCTTCCTGGTCCCACTGGTGTCTCCTTGCTGCTAACAAGGAGGGCAGGTGCAGTTCAGGCTGCTTCTCCTTTGTCTTGTAGAGATTGGGGGCCTCCCTCCCAGAAGGCTTTTGATGAGCTCCCCCTCCCTCCCCTACAGGCAAATGCAAGGGCATGAGATATATGGCAGCTACTGGTGGATTCCTGAGCCACAAACCCTATGTGCCATCCCATAAATCCTAGACTGTAGGATGGCTTTATGGGGAGGCCTGTTTTTAGAAGAGGGCATGACTGGCCCCTCTTGGCAGAGCCCAGACCTCAGGGAGCCAAGTGCCCAGTCGCCCCACCCCCTAGGATGAGCATGACTGAGCTTGGGGCATTGGTTTGTGCAGGGCAGACATTTTCTCCCCTTCTGGTGGGTCTTCTGCTCCACTCAGCATTCCTCCACCTTCCTGTGTCTCCACAGCTTCGAGGATTCCTAATCTCAGCACATGAGTGCAATCTGGAAACCCGGGCAGATTACCATCCCTTACCTAGACCTCAGATGCTTCCCAACCATGGCTCTAGTGTTCAGATCATTGGGCGTGGGTTTTTTTTTTTCATTTGTGTGTTTGGTTTTGGCCACCCCATGCAGCTTGTGGGATGGGGGGTGATTTTTAAAAATGCATTTTCCCAGGCACCATCCTCAGAGCCTCAGTTCCAGAATCTGAGGGCGAAGCCCAGGAATCTGAATGTTTCCCAATACTGCCTGCTGATGCTCATGTTCAGCCAACTTGTAAACAGTTGATCTGTACAGTGGGGACATCTCCACTCTCCTGTCGTGTGGGAAATATGAGTCAGCAGGCAGGGCGTGTCGAGGTCCTCTTGTCACTGGAGCCTACACGCTGCCACCATCATGAAGCCCCCCTTTTGCCCCCCCCCCCATCCCCGGCTGGCTGCACACAAGAGTGAGGTGGGTGGCAGCCTCTGGGAGCTTCCTGTCCATGAGAATCCTGCAGACGACAGGCCCGGACATCGCACAGAGCCAGGAGGAGTGGCTGAGGTTGGCTGGCAGGAATGAGCTTGGAGATGGAGAAGTAAGAAAGTTCCAGGCTGGTGGGCTTTGCAAGGAAGCTGGAAGAAGAGCTTTCAGCTACCTTCTCATCAAAGGAGGCCTCACAGCCCCCAGGTTCCTTGAGAAGAGGGACCAGGCTTTTCTCACCACTAACCCCAGTGCCTAGTGTAACGCTTGGCACTTCATTTGTTGAGCCGAACTGAGTGAGACTTCACGGCCCGTGACAGAGATAGGCTTGGCTGGCAGTGCAGACCCAACGCCTGTACTCTGAGAGGTGCCAGCCTGAGGAAGGAGTGCCTGGCCATACCCAGTCTCTGGGCTCAGAGGAGCTGGAGGGCTACAACTTAGCTGCATTTGGGGGCAGCCAGGGAAAGGACCCCTTCCAGGCTGGCTGAGTACAGAAGGATGTGATCCTTAAGCAAAGTAAACATGCTACTGACCCATAATCCCTTAAACCAGGATTCAGGAGGGGCCTGGTTGCCTTGGCAACTGGTTACTGGCCAGTGACAGTGCTGAGAGCATCCTCTGGAAATGGGCTATGCTTGGTGCGTGGGTAAAAGCTGGGAGAGGGTGCAGGGTGGCCCCCTCCCATCACAGGGCTAGCCCTGATGGCTTCACGGCAGGCGTGGGTGGGGGCCCCCGTGAGGCCTCTTGATGCCAACCCCACTGTAGCTGAGGGAGAAGGAGGCAGAGTAGAAATGAGGGGGTGGCCACACCGGGAGCTTATGAAACCGTGGAGGGGAGGGGAGGGGGGGAAAGGGAAGGGAAGGCGTGACAGCCCCACTCTGAGTTTTCAGGGCAGAACAGAGAAGGGAGGGTCTATGGGAAGAAGCGGTTGCACGAGTCTCATTGGGAGGCCAGCGGGCGTCGCCTCACTCAGGGGACAAGAGGGCTGAGAAGCCGCAGGGAGGGAACCTCTTCTCGCGGGGAAGGGGCCCTGGGGTGAGCAGAGCAGCCCACCCCTCTCCTGCATCATGTTCTCTGCAGTAGACACCCTGCCTGCTGGGGTCCTGGTGCCGGAGGGGCCCGCAGTGTTCAGCCTCTCCTCCCTGGGGGCCCTGTCTGTTTCCAGTAAATTTCTGTCTTTCCCTTGAGACATTCAGCTGCTTCTGACCTCCCATATTTCAGCAGG